AAACTCTGTTATTGTTGTTCTTTTTAAACATTCTGAAGCTTGAGTAAAACAAGCAAAAAGTACTCATTAACTTTGGTTATGAAACTTAATAAATATTATTGAACAATAACAAGATTAAGGAGTACTGATCATCATAAAAATCTATCATACTAAGTATTATAAATACTGCTTTTGATCAGAATATCAGGGGTAATTTTATTTTTGTAAATAATAACAGTATAAATGTGCATATATTTAATGATGATATCTTTAACCAATCCTTGTAAAAAATCATTATTTGAGAGATCGCTTACGAAACATTTATACATTAAGAACATTAAACAGTTTAATCATCTGAAATGAATGATTAAAGCTAAGTATGAGAGATGACAGTAAATCTATTATCACATGTCTGTCTGGATTCTTGACACGAATCATCACAGAATGTTAGCTTGAATGACAGGCAAAGATTTAAGGTGTGATAAATACACAGGTCTGCAAGTAAAAAACTGCATAGGATTTTTATACATTTTCTTGTAGATTTCAACTTGGTAAAAATGAAAAAAATATCAAAAAAATTCCATCACGTAAGTTTTTTTTGTTACACTAAAGTTTTTGTTTGTATTTAGTGTAAAATTCCTAGTTAACTTAAAATTTAGTATTTTTTTTTTATTTATTTAAAAAATGGCCTTAAAACAAAGACTTCTCACATTAATTCTATCAATTATAGCTGGACTTGGCAATAAAAAAAAAAAAGTGTTAATGTTTGAAGAGAGTAGTGATGGGGAAGATGGGTTAAGCAGTTTTAGCATTAGGAGGAAGGTCGCATGCTTGTGTAAAAACAGGTTAAAAGATGATAGTGAGTAATATTACTGGTGAGGTTGAGCATGTTTTGACATGTTATCTGGGATACTAGGAATAAATATAAACAACCTGCTGTTGGATTAGATCATGTTTCAACAAGCTAAGTAAATTCAGTATCTCGCTGGCCATCTAATGCCACACACAGTTTATATCCAGCATTCGAACGCTACTGTGCTTGTATTTTTATTTCTGGAATGTGGCTCGCAGAGGTTGTGTAATTTCTTCAGAGAGCTTCTGTTATGTTTGTGGTGAATACACAGTGAAAAGTCAACATCCCCATTATATGATCCCATCTTTTTGGAAACAATGGGAGAAAAGGAAAAAGAAGCTTGAAACTCTTTCAAGAATGTAGTGCATAAGTTTTTGGGAAATACAAAGGACCCTGACTACAAAACCATTGTACAACGCATGTTGGCAGTGTATGAAGCTCAAGGATGCAAGATGAGCTGAAAGGTTTATTTCTTACACTCCCATATTGACTATTTTCCCAAAAACTTGGGAGCCTACAGTGAAGAACAGGGTGAAAGATTTCACCAGGATGTCCATGATATCGAGAGATGTTACCAAGGAAAATGGGATGTCAATATGTTAGCTGACTACTGTTGGATGCTCAATTGAGAAACCAGAGAAGGAAATCGGAAATGAGTTCAGAGAAGCATCAAAGAGAAGAAGAAAAGGGGTCATAAGAAAAAAGAGTAGACCTAAAATTGTGTATAAATATCAAAAACAATTTTTTGATTAGTTGTAAGAATATATAATATATTTAGTTCATTGTAATAAATAAGACTTTTATCATAAATTTGTTTTTATTTTTCAAAAAACCTTTATGTGATGGGATGTTACAGAAGTCATTTTTTAGAATCTCCAATCTTTAAAACATATAAATNGAGCAATTTCATTTAATAAATAAATAAATTTAATCTGTTCAATGAAAAACGGATCTATTAACTATAAAAAAATGAATTTTTAAACAGAAAATTGAAAAACAATTTAAATTTTATTTTCAACTCTTAAACAGAGGTTAACAAACAGCTGGTGGCATGATTTTTCTCTCTTATTAATATAAAGCTAATCCAGAAACCATTGTGTTGTCTTATCTATAAATAATTGTTAACTATTTACTAAATACAGTTTATCATATTAAAACATCAGGTCATTGACAATTTTAAATCTCAGATTCTCTAAGATTTATGCATTAACAAACATAAGACTGAAGGAAAACAATTTTAAAATGCATATGCTTCAGAAATGTGACAAATTCCTTACTATATCGATCCTAAATTAAGAATGACTGCTGTAAATGCTGATACAAAATCAATAAAATTTCAAAAACTTGAAAAATGTCTAGTATATTATTTTTAAAATGTTATTTTTTAAGTGTTTATAATGAGTATTCAATAAAATATAATACCAGATTGCTGGACATTTTGGATTATTAAATGCTAGATTAACAAATTTCTATTGCATTTGTATTATAACTTAATGTCTTGTAAACAAATGAAATGAACAAAAAAAAAAACAAAACAAAAGTAATAAATTTATTTATAGGCAAACCAATTTATAATTAATTAATGAACTAATAAACCCAAAGAATTGAGAACAGTTGATTATGCATAGCATTTTACTAAATGTTATAATTATGAAAGAAATAAATACACTGTTGGACAAACCTAAGGACAAATGCTATTTTCAACAATTACAGTTAGAAATTGAACCGCAGCAGCCTGTTGAAATACACTTGAAATCATGATGTACTCTGTTATGTAAAACTTATGCAAATATTTGAGTTCTGCACTTGTCAGTCACATGACAGCACAGATAAGAGATTTCAATTTGCAATTAGTAAAAAAGAAGAACTAAGGTAGAATTTTTATCTCTCTATTTTGGCTCTGTACCATAGAAACTGCAAAGTTTGCCATTTACAAACACACTAAAAGTTGAAGGAAGGGTAATTATAAACAATATTTTAAATATAAATCTGACAGTATTTATATGCAAAAACAGGTATATTTAACTATGAACACCTAATACAAGATTTTAATTCAGAATGCTTCAAACATACAAAATGAAGGAAACTCTTATAAATTTAATGTTTCTCTTCAGTTAAAATCTGCTAATTTTTTTTCTTTTTCTTTCATTCTTTATTTCATCTTGTTAAGTATGAAAGTATATGTGAAAATACAATCAAGTTTGTTAAACAATGATAATTGTATTTTCACATGTACGCCTACTTTTAATAATTCACAAATCAAATTTTCATGTACAAGTGTTTGGAACCTAGAAGTACAGAAAGAAAACAAAAAGATAACAAAATACCATGTTAGATTTTAACCAGAAACAAAATATTAAATTTATAACTGCTACAAAATAAAATAAAAGGTATTTTATTCATTAAACTTTATATATATATGTAAAAAAATAACTTATTCAGTATTTAAAAAAACACAAGTGAAAAGAAAATGGAACCCAAGTCAAGAACTGCAGATGTTACTGATCATGCCATACCACATGACCATATAGATAGTTTGCCTGAAAAGCTTAAGGCCAATTTATTAATTATACATATATTTCTTTCAAATTTTCTCTTCATGCATTGCCTGTTTGCACAAGCAGCTTCATTTACTTACAAAGGACACCAAGGTCTACATGATAATTAAGGTCCGAATTTTTAGGTACCATACCCACTCTATTTTTGAAAGGGGCAGAGTGTAAAAAGACAAACTATGTCAGTTTAAGTGCAGTAGATCCACTCATTACCAAATTGTTTAGCATCCAAATGCACCCAAAATGCAAACCTGCCCCCAAAATGATGACTAGCACCCAAACTACCCAGCTTCCCCCTTTTTTACATTTTCAAATATGTTGAGAATTCTTTTTTTTTTGTTTTTGGTGGTTTTTTATTCATTCACTCGAGGGGAAAAAACAAATTCATTAAACTGGTCAATGTATGCTGAGGAAAAAAAATATGATAATTAATAATTAGCTTACTCTCTTCTTTTGTTGAGAAAAACGCAGGTAAAGGGGAATTTTCTGGACTAAACAACTNGTTAGATGTGGAGAAAACCCAGAAAACTCCAGACAGGTGGCCCGTCCCGGCCAAGCACAAACCCACGACCAAACTCCCAGCGTTCGGGGAACGGAACCGCTCGGCAACCGGCGGGCCCCATTTAACGGCAACCATTTGGAAATTTATACATTCGCTTACGGTTCCAAACGTGTCAAATTTAATAGGAATACCCCATTATAGAAAAACTGCAAAATTTAGAGTTAGCCGCTTACATTGCTATAGCCACAATGTATTTGAATGTTACGCACACAAATAAAATAACGAAAATACGATTAAAATTGAAAACGAGAGAAAAAATAAAGTAAAATATTGAAACTTATTTACTTTTCGGATAATTTAATTTGTTACGACTGAAAGAAAAGTATAGATATAAATAACACGCATATGTAGTAATACTATTGCCGATAGATGACACCCATAGCAGTAAGGTACAAAAATAATGGTTCAGAATGAATTATTAAAACGACAAACGTTATTTTAAATTCATAAGATTTTGCCTTTAATTTTGCAAAATTAAAAAAGAAGAAAGAAAAACACCAACGGACTTAGATCTATTATAAATTTTACACATCGATAATAAAATGCATAAAAATTTATATTACACAGATAAAAGGAAAAGATTTTATATTTTGTAATATTCATTTTATTAATGCAAATATGCACAATATTTTGCAGTTTTCACAAACACAATTCAAAACTATTAGCTAAACCATAAACAGCGTGCAAATATGCCCTTAATTAACAACTCGTTACATAATGCTGAAGACATTTGGATGAAATTCAAATAAAATAAACAATGACAGCATTATTTCTTTACTTTGATTTAAAAAAAAGTGCATTCGCCATTTTAAGATACGCAATTTTAAATTTCGAATGAAGAAAAATGATTAAACAATTGACTAGCTTCTTTCAATTATGACGCTAATACATACCGTATTTTGAAAGAAGCCACGCGGTCGCTAGGCCTAATCACGTTTTTAGTAATAAAATATAGTTTTAATTTTTCTTTGTAGAATTTAATTAATAATTACAAGATATTATTTAGTTATTTAAAATTAATTTCATTTACAATATGGCTTATGACACATACCCAAAAAAATCTAAAAGATAAAGACTAAATCTCCTTTCTCTTTGTCGCTCCTGGATGAAATTCCAGATGGCGCTTTCAATTTTCAAAAAATGTCAAACGTTTAATTCAAAATCGCTATTTTATGAAAAAAATTTTTTTTTTTGAAAATATATTCTACAAAATTTTTTTGTATTGTTGCACGATTATTTATAAATATAATGTTAATATGATAGTAAAGTGTTAACATTTGGCATGCATATACAGTATATAATTTGTAGTTAATTTCCTATTAGACGGGATATCCCATAGGGAGACGGTCACGTGATAGAAAGGCAGAATTCGTGCCACCGTCTTACCGTGTGGTTCCACATTGGCGCAATACGAAAATATAAGTGCTGTATTTTGGTTTAACGGAGAATGTACAACAATGATATAAAACGAAATTAAAACAAATGCGTGATCAGAATACAATAAGCACTTCGTATCTATAACTTTAATACCAGGAGAAATGATTATTCAATGGCATTTAAATTACTATATTTAGAAATCTATATATATATATATATATATATATAATTACATATCCTGACTGACTGAGTGATTGATTCATCATCACACAGAGCAAACCGCTAAACCTAAATAGGTGAAATTTGGTACACACTTAAGACTTAACCTGAAGAACGGCTTCTATTATACTATTTTGGATGCGATTGTTTGTTTTTAACTACGTTTTAGTAGGTTACGCAATGAGAATGCACACTAAAAAGGGATTTTTGGAAAATCCCCCGTGGGACGGAGAGGGAGAGGATTAAGGCTTAATAAGTCTTAGCCCCGAAAGGCAGTAACATAAACTGGTTGGCAGTACCATAAACATAACAAATTGGTTTACAAAGAGGCAGTGGGATAACTAAAACTCTATTTTTCTGTAAGTGTTTATACTTTAGGAATTTTCAGATAATGTCATTTATGTTTCGAAAAAAAAAATTAAACTCAGATTTATCGTACCTCGGAATCCCATAATATTTGAAACTTGAATTTAGGTGCATTAGCAGTCCATAGTTTGAAACAAGCAAAAATCAGTCATTTTACCAAACTAGTAACAACGAATGATTGAGAATCTTAGCGAAGTACCGAGGGAGGGTTATTTCTATCAAACTGCAAAATCCTCGCGGGCGAAGCCGCGAGTAACAGCTAGTAATTTTATATAATTAAAAAACAATTTACAGTATCATCCTAATGTAGTTTTGATGGATTACACCCGCAGTAAAACATCACAACGGGCAGTTTTCGACTGTTGGCCGCCTGAGTGCGACAGATATTTGGCAGCCCCCCATCAATGCTGATCGAGAGTAAATTCAAAACCTAAGCCAGAGTCGATAGATAAACTGCTCCTTGCGCTATGCTCTAAACTACGGTTAATGTGTCACGTTGCCGATAGCAGTCTTAGAGTCGCTCTTAGGCGAGAAGTTGGTTTATCTATTTGGTTAGTACAGTGTTTTTCAACCGGGGTGCCGCGGCACCTTAGGGTGCCACGGTGCCACGATTGGGGTGTCGCAAAGTTTAGAGCCTTTAGGCATTTTCTTGGAAATTTACTTAAGTGTAGTTCAAGATAACTCATTGTCAGTTCTATTTTGTTATGAGATATCTAGTAAGCAAAGAAACTATGACTAATCGCGTGTTAATGTAATGTTCTACGCTACGTGTACTCATGACTTGTCACGAGTTCGCCCAAACCAAATTGCTTGGCCTTCACGTTCCCAGTCCCAGTATCAGGCCAACCACCAGAGAAGAACGACGCGGACACTTGTGTCTTGTATATACAGTTGTCCCTTGACAGGTATGGGACCAAAGGTGTGTCAGATTACCANAATTTTCATGTACAAGTGTTTGGAACCTAGAAGTACAGAAAGAAAACAAAAAGATAACAAAATACCATGTTAGATTTTAACCAGAAACAAAATATTAAATTTATAACTGCTACAAAATAAAATAAAAGGTATTTTATTCATTAAACTTTATATATATATGTAAAAAAATAACTTATTCAGTATTTAAAAAAACACAAGTGAAAAGAAAATGGAACCCAAGTCAAGAACTGCAGATGTTACTGATCATGCCATACCACATGACCATATAGATAGTTTGCCTGAAAAGCTTAAGGCCAATTTATTAATTATACATATATTTCTTTCAAATTTTCTCTTCATGCATTGCCTGTTTGCACAAGCAGCTTCATTTACTTACAAAGGACACCAAGGTCTACATGATAATTAAGGTCCGAATTTTTAGGTACCATACCCACTCTATTTTTGAAAGGGGCAGAGTGTAAAAAGACAAACTATGTCAGTTTAAGTGCAGTAGATCCACTCATTACCAAATTGTTTAGCATCCAAATGCACCCAAAATGCAAACCTGCCCCCAAAATGATGACTAGCACCCAAACTACCCAGCTTCCCCCTTTTTTACATTTTCAAATATGTTGAGAATTCTTTTTTTTTTGTTTTTGGTGGTTTTTTATTCATTCACTCGAGGGGAAAAAACAAATTCATTAAACTGGTCAATGTATGCTGAGGAAAAAAAATATGATAATTAGCTTACTCTCTTCTTTTGTTGAGAAAAACGCAGGTAAAGGGGAATTTTCTGGACTAAACAACTAATCATTAAGGTTGTTCTAAGAATGTAAACAGATTCACTGAAAATCTACAACACTATTCTTTTCTTAGAAAAGAAAACACATCTAAAAAATCCTGACTTGTGAGTGCAACAGTTCCAATTTCCTTTGTTTGGTGTCGGCATCATTAGAAAATGGCAAAATTGTCTGCATATAAACTGAATATTTTAGCAAACAAGTTTAAAGATGAAGGCATATGCAGAGATGAAAAAGTTCATTGCTGTTCCATTTGCAATTATGTGATTTCAGTTGACGTGAAACACCAAGAAATGAAAATCAGGCGACACACGAGTTCGTAAAAACAGAGAAAGCAAACAGAAAAGAAGGAATTTTGAGCAGACATTTATAGGGGCCTCATTTCAAAGATGAGAAGAATCTCAGAAGGCTAATAATATGTTTTATGCAGATTAACAACTGCTCTTCTGCAGGCAAATATACCCTTATATAAGTTAAACAATCCAGCCTGTAAGTAATTTCTCCAGAAATATATGGGAAAGCTTGTCCCTGACGAGACCACTCAGAAAAAACTATGTGAAACCAGTTTATGATCAAACAATATCTAAAATCCTGGACGTTGTCAGATACAATCCTGTAGTGTCTATACTGGACAAAACAATGGATTCCACAAAACAGTATGTGCTGAATGTTCTTGTTGACCACCAACCGGATGCTATATATAACCAATGTTGCTCAAAATGTACCAACTTAAAAATACAAACTCAACTAGTGTCCCAAGCTTTCAATGATGTTTGCATCAAGTTGTGGCCAAATGATGTCCAGTACAAATAGGTTTGGCTTGTCGTTACAGATCAAGCATCTTACATGTCAGCATTTTCAAATTTGAAGTGCATATACAACAACCTAAAGCATGTGACTTGTCTTGCCCATGCCCTACACTGAATATGTGAACATATTTGTGTAGAATACAGCAAGGCCAATGACTTCATTTCTAAAATGAAAATGGCTCTCAAGTTTCCTAATCAGGAGCACTTGTACCAATACATAACTGGACTGCCATTACCACCCCGTCCAGTGGTCATCCATTGGGGGTCTTGGATAAACAGTGTGGTATTCTACTGTGAGAACTTTGAGAAAATTAATGCATTTATCAATGAACTTCCTCCTGGAGATCCGGTGGCCATGTCAAGAAACTGGTCACTGATACAGTAGTGACCACAGAGCTCTACTCCAAGCATTTGTACAAGTTATTTGCACAAGATTATAAAATAACATAATATAATATATAATATAACATTCTTCAGGTGCTGACTAAGCATTGTCGCTTAATCAGCACCTGAAGAACTCAGTGGAGGTCGAAAACGTTAGTGGATATTGTAACAAACACAACACTGATAAAGGTTTTTTGTAGACAGTTATTACTCAACACAGTGTTACAGTTAGAAGACATTTGTGTTTTGTATCAGACTATTTCATTTAAGCACATTCTAATGTATATCAATACTGCTTTCTTTTCTGCTTTTCATCTATTTGGCAAGATAAAATTATCCAATTTTGTTCATTTTCAATTTCGAAGAGTGATATTCATTTACAATTTTCCCTGCCTTGTAGTGTCCTAAGCACAAAAACTGGGAGATTTACAATTATCCTTCATAATATGTACATTTATTAAATATAAATACTGTAAATGTAAATTTTTGTTCTTGTAAATGTAAACTTTTCGTCATATTGGGCTGCAATTTGAAAAAATTGTAGATCTATAACTTCCTATGCCATCTGTCCATCTGTCTTTCCTTAATCTTGAGAATGGAGTTAAATAGATGAAAGATGAGACCAGATATGGAAACCTTAGGGGAGAGAGGCCCTGAATAACTATATACAAACTTCCAATGCAAACCAGAAGTCACGTTATTTCAATTAAAAAATTTCCCCTTAAAAGGTGTTAGATAGATGACTGGAACAACTCTATTGTTAAAGGAAAAGTATTATGTACAGGGGCAAGCCACTACTGATTTTAGGTGGAGAGCATATAGTTAAAATTAAATAAATTAAAAGTATGATAAAAAATTGCAGCCCTGCATGTCACAATAAATAATTGCTCGTTAAAAAGTATTTTCAAAACTCCAATTCAATGTAAAAACTTATGTAATCATTTAAATTAAGTAAGTTCACACAATCCTATTGGAAATAAATTATTTTTCTAACTTGATATAGATAATTTAAAAAGCATTCTTCATAACTATATAAATCAGCAATTACAACTCAAAAATCATCTTTAATTAACAAGCATCAGCATTTACAACAAAAAGTTTGAAATGAATTTTGATGAGTGATTTACATTATGATTTAAGCTTTTTAATCCTTACTTATCAATAAAAATAGTCTCTTTTTCCACTGACTTTTATTTAATTAGAATTAAAACTTGTAACTTCTGTAAAGACAGCCAAGGTCATACTAT